CACTGATGAGACAAGTGTGCTAGTGCCAAATATTTTTACATGTTTTTATTATCAAAACCTTTGTCACCCTTTTTAATATGCATATCACGCCACTGTCATGTCTTTAATACTTATGTTTTTACCCGCATTATCGCGAGGAATTTTAAGGCCCCTATACAGCCACGCAACATATCATTGACCGCATCTTTATACTCATTGAAATGGCGCTCTTTGGCCATCAATTGGCCCTTGCGCCATAAAACACCACACATCATCATCTGAATAATGAAGCGTTTTATAACACCGCAGGAACTACCAGGCGCTACACTGTACGAATTGCATAACGAGTGGGTCATCAATGCTCGAACCCACTACAAAAGCTTGTTGTGGATCACCTACTTCAGGCAGAATTTTCTTCATCGTCGTCAGCCACTGCATAGAAAAAGTGCACAAAATTCCCAGCAAATATGTGGCGGATACAACGCATCTCCGATGAATAATTAAGGATAGCTTAAGGACTGCCGGCTTACTACACAAAAATTATGATTAATTATGGCGTAGTGGGTACCTAGCAAGTTTCCTTGTAGTAGTTATAGTTACCCAATCAGTGTTAAAAAAAAGGCTCTGAAAGGCTGCTCATCCCGCTTTCGCTATCACTGGGCTGCGCATTCCGCACGCGACTGGTGTATTTTTTTCGAAAGCGCGTAAGCAATGGTGGAGTTATGGAAACGCACTGCCGCTCTACCTTGAAGTTATTTCAGACATCTGTTCTTTCTATTGATTTCAACGTTAGGCCTCGCCCAAACATCAAGGCCTGCCAAAAATTGGCCTATAGTCCAATCTTTAGTGAAAAGCGAAAATGAAATTTTATTGTTTACCACGTTACATACAAATTCGGTTCCACAAAATATGGCACTTGACATTTGTGTTAACAATCAATGTGTCACATGTTTGCACTCATTTGTTATGGCACCCAGCACAACAAAAAGTGGGGTTTTTTTAGGTAGTTCTCAGGCCCTGAATCGGCGAACATGCCAAAACAACCTGGTTCTTGGTGATTTTAATGAAGGCACAGGACCATCGTTTCAGGAACTCCTTCTTTCCTAGTGAAAACAATTCTGATTCCAAATGGTTCGTTACAATATCATACAACCGCACCAGCAAAAGCCATTGATTTTTACGGGCCTTTGCTTAATGCACATCCAAGCCGTTGTTTTCCCACAACGCGTACATACCAGCGGCCAGCACTAGACCTGCCAGCGCCAGTTGGACATCCTTTCCTTTTGACAAATCTTTCTACACCCAACGGGTGGTATGCCCTGTCCACGAGGGACCAAAAGGCCTTGGTCACACGACCGATTTATAAAGCGCGTTGTCCTCGTGCATGCCGCAGTGCACACACTACTAGGCGTTCACTATAGAATTGCATAACGAGTGGGTCATCAATGCTCGGACCCACTACAAAAGCAGGTTGTGGATTACCTTCTTCAGGCACAATTTTCTTCATCGTCGTCAGCCAATGCATAGAAAAAGTGCACAAAATTCCTAGCAATTATGTAGCGGATACAACGCATCTCCGATTAATGATGGATAGCTTAAGGTAGGCTGGCTTGATATGCAAAAATTATGATTAATTATGGCATAGTGGGTACCTAGCAAGTTTCCTTGTAGTAGTTATAGTTACCCAAACAGTGTTAAAAAAAGGCTCTGAAAGGCTGCTCATCCGGTTTTCGCTGTCACTGGGTTGCGCGTTCCGGGCGGGCCTGGCATATTTTTTTCGAAAGCGCGTAAGCAATGGCGAAGTTATAGAAACGCACCGCCGCTCCACCTTGACGTTATTTCAGACATTTTGGCATCTAAACTGCCAAAATGGCATCTAAACTGCCAAGGACCAGTAAAAAAAAAAAAGGGTTCGGCTCACAGACATTTTTTCAAAAACAAAATTCAGAGACAGCTAGTTGGAGCGGCAAACAATGTTACGGCGCTTATTAAAAATATTCACAAGCATTGCGCAGCTTAACATGGCTGTCAAGACAAAAAAAACTGCGCGACAGTTATATTAAAGTTTTCAGGAACTACCACCAACATGTTTCTGGATGTGTTCAGTCAGTTTTTCGCCGCCTCACTGATGAGGGCAGCTTTGGAAACACGCGACAGTGGGGAAGGCATGGAATGGGCCCACCTATCAGTAGAAGTCGCTGTCTGTGTTCACGTCGCCCCTTCGCCGACTGCTGGCTTGAGCGTTGCTTTGACGTTGCCTGCTGGTGTTCACTTCCTGAAGTGCGGTCTCTCCGGTGCCCTGCGATGTCACGTCGCGTTCTTGGTGCTGCGTTGAGTACGCTTCTCGTCAGTCTGCATGTGAGCGCCTGGGCCTGAGGTCCTGAGCGACAGGGAGAGGATACTACCGTGGGCTGCCTTGGGGTCGCGACTCCGGCTGTACGGCCTGCAGCCGACGCCTGCCGGCATCGAGAAAACTTCCTGTGGTGTGCGGTTCGGAGGTTCGGGTGTCGGTGCACGCTCGTCGATAACGAGCTCAGTGGGCTCCAACTCGTCTGACGACAGTGCTGCCACATCCTTCTGCGCCTCCAGCCAAAACCACCTAGAAAATTCAAAGCCTTCGCACGACGGCGTGACGTCACGCTAGTGCGATGGGCCTACAAGTCGACTTCACCACGCGTGCATCGTGCGATGGGCCCGAGGCATGGTGCCTTGCGCGTGAACGCACCCAAGTAGTATTTTTAACCCAGTGGCATGCGTGTATTATTTTAAATGTAACACATTGTAACCAAGCCTTTTAATCTTTTTTTATTGCGCAATTTTGCCACAGGGCATTAGGGGAATCGAAGGATGAAAAAAAAAGAAAGAAAAAAAAGCCTTGTAATCATAATCGAAAGAGTACGACGCGCAGAGGTACAGCCAGCGTGTGTCGAAAAAATTGTGGCTTCGAATAACTACCAGTTTCCAGGAAGTAATACGAACCCTGAGTAGTCAATATTTCATGTTCTTTCACTGCATAAAATGTATAACTGCCACAGAAAAAAAATGCCGCCAGCTGATTCATACTGTGAAGGCCATCATAAAAAAAGTGACATTCTTTAGACTCGTTGCCTACTTCCATTCATTGTGTGTGTCCTCAAAAGGTCCTGGACAGCACTTGCCCTGTATGCTATTAGACCATTTCTGCATAACTGATGGGCAGTGTTTATCATCACAGCGTCACTTCTGGGAGCTAAATAGCAAAAGATGGTTTTGAAGGGCCAAAATAAATGTCATGCATACAAACCAATTTGAGGCTCAAAAAATAGAAAGAAATGCACATTTATTATTCAGTTCATCTTCAAAGTTTTTATGGTTCATTTATTTAAGACACTCCCACAAACAACATGATTTATTCATGATTTTAAAAACAAAGTCATACAAGTAAATTGGGCTACAAAAGCATACATACAGCTCAAACAAAACAAACTATATACACAAGTACTAGATCACAAAAGAGTGGCATTTTTCAAGCCATCAATGTTTTTAGTGCGGCGAGTTGGGCAGGTTGGTAACGATGCATGACTGAGAAATCTTAGCGCCACAGAACGGAAACAAAAGAAAGAAACGTAGACAACACGAGCGCTAACTTCAAACCAAGTTTATTAGGAAACACACATGAATATATACGAACTCAAATCACAGAAATCTCACGCCTACTTTTTTACACATATATTGTTATACAACGTCATACAAAAACAAAAAATGTAATATCAGGAAATAAACAGGTAAACGCGCATGTGTAAATGGAACCAAGAAAACTTAGAAAAAAACTTAACAGCCCCCCGAAAAACCCTACAAACGAAAAATGTGACACCAGCTGCGCATGCTTACCTCGGTGAAACTAATGGCGAATTCCATTGAGAGAACAGGAGTAAGGGTGCCGAGCAGAGAGGAGTAGGGGGCAGAGCACTGAGAGCCGCGTCACTCGACCTGCCACTGGAATGCGGCACACCTCCGCAGAGCAGGTGTGAGGGAATAAAAAGGCGAGTGAGGAGAAAGGTTGTGCATCCCAGCGTCCTCTGCTGCAAAACACGTGCGGTCTGATCCGGACGGGCAAGGAAAGCACGTGTGGCAGTGGTTGGTACAGCGCACTCGCTTGCGCGCTATCCTGCAAAGCTGCTGCTTCGTATACTACTACATGATGGACTCGGAAGCTCAGCGCATCCTACTGTCTTTAATTCAACACCAGGCACCATCTAGTACGGAAGGTAAAGTGAATTTGATTGCTTTTTATTTGTTTCAGCGCACTTGTCGCGCATGCAGCATGCAATGCATTCTTGCGCGCGTGGACCTAAGCCCACTATTCTTTATCATATCAGAAAAACACCGTGGATATGACAGCTTTATCAGACTGTTCATGCAGTTACCAGCTGCTGCTGTCATCAGCAGTTAACAAAACGTAAACAATTCTAGAAGTACTGCAGTACACTATCCTGTTGCCAAGTTTCCTTGCATGAGTAATTAATCCTTAATTCAAAACAAACTTACATTGCAGACCCCTCCATCAGCAACAGAATGATTCGCAGCGTTTTAAGAAAAGTAACTGCGAAGTGGCGTGTAGCAAGTGTCACGTGGGTGCAGCTAAGTATTGCACGCAGTAACAATTTATTTTTATTTCTGATTTTTAAGTGGCTAATGTCTCCAGACGGCAGATCAGCATCCCACGTGATACGGTGAAGCCATACATCTCCTCGGAAGCACGATTTCTTATCGCAGGGTCGAGATGCTACGTATGATAAGCGATTTTTTTTTAATTATCAGTGATTTGTGCAGTGTTTCATGCAGCCCTGTAACATGATGATTGACTTTTTAGAATTTGTTTTTTGCTTGCTCTAATCCGCTTACCTTCGAGTGTAAGGCATCCGAGTTTGCATAATGTAGCTGACTACTTGAGAACCATTTTCATTATATAACTGATTTGATTACATTTCCATCATTGTGTGAAAACAGATGCAGTTCTGCGTACAAATATGGCTGGCGAGGTGCCAAGGCGAGGGAGCGAAGAAATGCGCATGGAGCTCAGATTGCCATGCGTTGAAACAGGAGGTGGTAAGTATTAGTATTAACATTATGCGAGGCACTACATTTACTGCTCATTTATATTTTTTAGATGGCACAGATACTCTGCACCTGCCAGCTCCCACTGCATCAAGATCAGCTGACGGGGAGACTGGTGCTCAAAGCAAGCCATCAGGCTCCAGGAGAGGAGGTGGAGGCAAGTATATTAACACTGAGTGTCTACAATTGCCTCAGCAAGTGTTCTTGGGTAAATCTAACAAGCATGCATCAGAGCGTGTAAAAGTGTACTTGTAGGAGTGATCCTTAAATGACAAAAAAAAAAGAGAGCATGGAAAGCAGACCACTACAATTACTGGAAGACTGGCACAATTTGCATATTGCAATTTACATGCACAATACCAGAACTTATCACTTATGTATGTTTGCTAGTCTGCGCAAATGCTTGTTTTGTTGATTAATGCTTGCTGATTGATAATTAAGCTCAAGTGACCGTGCTGGTGGTTAAATTATTCAATTATAAGTAATGCCTGCACAATGACCGACAGTTTCCCAATAAACCATTTATGTGTTGGTTCTTTCTTATTCTAGCTGCTGAATGGACAGAGGGGCAAACAAGGGCTGCTCCTAGAGTACTACCTCAAATATTTCCCTCAGATTGGCCCATTTAAAAAATTCAAAAACAGGAAGCAAGCCTTTAAACAAATATCGATGGACATCGAGGCTGTGCTTGGCATAGCCAAAACCCCAGAACAGTGTGAAAATAGGTACAAAACAGTAATTAGGCGTCGGAAGGCGTCTTCCGACCATAACAAAAGGTCTGGTGCTTCACCCACCCCTGTGCCTTTTGACGACGAGGTGAAAAAAATTGAAAGCATTGATGACAGCATTGAACCGGAGGTAGAGCGAGACGCCTCAGGGGCTACATTCAAAGCCTCGCCCGAATCTCCGGCCGTGTTGTCACCTGCCAACACCACTGAGGAAAATAAGACGCAGTCCTCAAATCCCGACACGAAGCCACGGGTAGGAACTGCACGCCTGGCACACATGCAGTTGTTTTTTACTGAAATGAGGGCACTGCAAGAAGAAAAGGAGGCTCAAAAGGCGGCCAGACGTCAAGAAAAGAAAATCGAAGAGCTGAAAGGCAGGCCGAGCGACAGGTGCTTCGTGAAGAGCGGCGCAAAATGCATGAAGAAAAAATGGAGATTCTCCGTCAGGCCTTTGGACTTCCAAAATAAAGTGGTAGTTTTAAATAAATAAACGTACTACCCAAAGCGATTACTTAGTTTCAATGTCTTTTATTTTCTAGTTTGGCACAATACACTACCTTGAGAAAATGCAAATGGGCCAACAGGTGTGTGGTAAGGACAATTTTCCCAACCTTGAAGGTGTTTTAACGAGTTCAGCTTTTCAGGTGGGCCTTTGGTAAGCATATATTTGCTCACAACTGCATAACACGTAAAGGAATTCCTTGTTTCATGGCTGCTGGTTCTGCAACCCCATTTTTATCATCAAGTGATCTCTCTTGATGCTAGCCAAGCCACGTAATAGGCTATCCTGTTGGGCTACACTACTGCTGCTTACTTGAACTGCAGAAGAGCTTGAGTCTACATTTGTTGTTTGTGAGGTAAGTGACAGGTCTCGTGACAGGTTCTCTGGCAAATCTCCACAATCAATGCAGAGGTTGTGAAGCACACAGCATGAAATGATAAACTTGGACATGTTATCCACTGTCCACATATCCAACCTGTGCAGTTGTCTGAAACGATTTTTTAAATCGCCAAAAGTATTTTCAATAAGCACCCTTGTCCCGGAGAGTCTTGCATTGAAGGTTTTTTTGATGCTGTCAAGATTCCCATAGTCTCGAATTGGTGTCATCAGGTACTCCCGGAAAGGATATGCAGCATCCCCCACTATATGGTACTTGCTAGAGCACAGTTGTGGCAAAACACTTGAAATCCTGGACCGACGGAAAATGCGTGCGTCATGAATTTTGCTTGGGTAGCCAGTGCTGGCATCAAGAAACCTCTTCTTGTTGTCACAAACACCTTGAAGTGTCAAGGATAGGTAATGGTGCCGGTTTATATAAACAGATCGCACTTTCCTGGCTGGGCACCTGATAGGCATGTAGCTTCCGTCAACACACCCAATTGTGTCTGGGAATCCCGACAGCTGCAAGAGAAAAAAATGTGCACACACATAGTCAAATAAGCATGGCACTAAGGGTAATGAAAGGTGCCAATAACATGCGGAAAAGTTTAAAACAAACTGGAGACTTGAAGCTCATAACGGCGAGTGCAATACACTACCGGTACACATGATTGAAATTAACTGGCTACTTAATTGTGAAGCATCTGGAAAAATAATTGTAATAACTTATTTAAAAGGTGCATTCTGGCACTAACTAATTCATAATTGTAATAGTAGAGCGGTAAAGAACACATGGGACCGCACGAAGGGGAATTAATGACACATACAGAGTACATACAGAGTGCACAAGTAACTGAACTCTAGGTTTATTCACTGTACATGCAGGACAAGTACTAGATGTACATCACTAAGCAGAAGATGGGAAAATAGAAGAGATATGAAACAGCATCACATGGTCAAAACTACTCAAGAAAAATGTCCGATTGCTGACAGCATTTGTAATACACATGAAGGAGGCTTGACTGTGTGGTGCTCTTTCATATCTCTTGCATTTTTACATTTTCTGTTCATTTGCAGTTCTGATCCTGCATATCAGTTGCTTTCAGTCCTTATTGTGGTTTGAGTAGGTGTAATTCCTCTTAGTCTGGTCCCTTGAGTTGTGTAGAGCTGTATGACATTGGTGTGAAAAAAACTGTAGTTTATACCTTAAATAGCATGTTTACAAAAGCATAGTTACCTTCTCAAAATCCACAGCAAGCTTCTGCAGGTCACTGGGGAACTTGATTACATTCGGTGCTATGTCGAGCAGGAATGCAGTTACTCGGCCCATCATTCTGTGGTGAGTGCTTTCTGCGACTTCAAAGCGGCCAGCGACATCTCTAATGCATGCTTTGTTGGCTGCATACCTGAAAAGGAGAGGATACTCTAATTAAATAATGGAATTAAGCTTGCTGTTGCTGTCAATGACTGAATAATGGTGTTAACAATGCTGTCGCTGTCAATGAAGCAAATTAGCAAGACAACTGAAGTCAGAAAACACGATTCCACCTTTTTGGGTGACACCTTAGAAACTCAAAATATTTGATTAGTAGAAGCACTATCTAAATAACAAATTCTAATTTTAATTCGCGCATTACATTTATAAGTGTGGAGATGAAGCTCACTGTGAACCTGCTGACACAGCCGATTTGAAATGCTTCGTGAGCAAAAGTTTTCATGGTTGTTTGTAATGATGCATCATGAATTATGCTTTGCCACTGATTCTAGTAACGAGAATTTTGTGAAGCTCAGTGGTAGGTGTACAAACTACGAAAGCATTTCACAAAATACTATAACTCTATTACGTTCGACACTCGCTAGTAGCATTTAACAAGTTTAAAGCAAGGTGGTCCAATGACATGCTGCGAATTAGGTACATTTATTTGCAATATTTCATATGCCTCTAACCCACTATAAAACGGATTATGCAGTGACCTGATGACAGCGGCATTCCTAAACGTACGGACACTCACCAAAGAAAGGAGAGAATGTGTTCTTCAGCCGACTTGGCAGGCAGGCCACCATGATCACTGTTCTGAGGGCAGTGCGGTGACTTGGCGAATTCTGCTGCCAAGAAGTCCACGACCGGCCGCGTGACGCGGAAATTTCTTTTGAACTGGAAGAAAACAGGCCTTTAAGCAACCTAATTAAAACAGAAGCCGAATGACTCACCTCCTCGTCGGAGTAGCTAGCCACCGTCTTTGTAACATATGCTTCCACTTTCGGCCTTCGCTCTGGCAGAGAAAAGAGCTGCTGAAACGCTGCTGCATACACTTCGTCGTCATCGTCGCTGCTGCTTGAACTCGACTCGGACGTAGAGCTCCAGCAGCTATCGCTGCTGACATCGTCTAGCTCGTCAAATACTTCGGCAAGACGACGACGTTTTGCTGCCTCCGCCATCCGTGAATCTGAAGGCAGGCAAGGTGGACGTTCACTGCCAGAATCTGCCGCTACGACGTTAAAATCGTTCGAGCCCGAGCACCACGCACGCTTCGCTGCCGCCATAACCGCCCGACACGACGCCGCAAAATGTAAACAAGTGAGGAGGATTGCTGAGAGGGTATGTCCGGACATGACGTTCCAAACACGTGGTTTCCTGCGTTTTCCACTCACTCCGCTTTTTAAGAGGGAGCAGACAGAACTGCTCCTGGCTGCTCTCGGCGCAGCAAAAGCGCTCTCGCTCTACCAAATGGATGACAGTGCTCCTACTCCTGTTCGACCACTGAAACACGCCGCCTCGGAAGAGAGCACTTTGAGCGTGCTTTTGAGTGCACCTGCTCTCCCAATGGAATTCGCCATAAGAAAACGTGCTCATTAGGAATGAAAATTCTTTATCGTGAAGGAGTACAGACGGATGACTCACGCACTTCTCGCCACGTTTTCGGATGAAGCAGGCCTCAACTAATTCTCGGGTTAACTGCTCGGGTTAACTGCTCGGGGTAACTGCTGCGCAACTAATTCTCGGGTTTTCACATGCGCGTTTACCTGTTTATTTCCTGATATTACATTTTTTGTTTTTGTATGACGTTGTATAACAATATATGTGTAAAAAAGTAGGCGTGAGATTTCTGTGATTTGAGTTCGTATATATTCATGTGTGTTTCCTAATAAACTTGGTTTGAAGTTAGCGCTCGTGTTGTCTACGTTTCTTTCTTTTGTTTCCGTTCTGTGGCGCTAAGATTTCTCAGTCATGAATGTTTTTAGTTTTCTTTGATTCTTCCCAAGGGACAGCTTATCATTTTCTCTGCTGCACAAATTGTTCAAGAGTGTGTTCGCTGCTGCACTCACGAGAAGCTGCATCACTTCCTCTGGTGTGTGACCAAAATCACACGTACCTAGGTTCTCCATCTCTTCGAGGGTTGAAAGTACAAGGCCCACAAGTGCATCCTTCTAGCTAGGAAGACAGAAAAACTGTGTGGAGTTTTCTGGAGCCCTCAGCTTATCCAAGACGATTTCTGTGAAAAACACAGTATTCACAATGGTGGCTCGTGGGAACTTCAGGTCACCTCTAGACATGTGTGCGATTAGTGCATTTTCTGCGCTATATAAGTCTACATCATGGCAGAACAAGGTTTTCTCAGCACGATGTACATGTCAGCTTCTTCAAAGCAGCGGGCGCGCAGTAGTCAGCAACATAA